ATATATATATTAGGTGTTGGAATTAATTCGTAGCGTTTTTTAATGAAAGAATGTTATTTATTTCACATGAGCATTAAAAAATACATTAATGAAAGTACTTCCCATCACTTGTAAAACGCTACGAATTAATTCCAACACCTAATACATATATGAAATATGGTAGAAGCCTGCACGTGTGCTTCATTTTTTGGAAGCTCTTAACAGAGAAATAAATATTAATAATATTAAACAAAGAATTTCTTAAGACCACAAATGAGTAATTACATAATTGTGTAGATAAATATTATTTGGATAAAAAAAGGGATTTAATAAAAAAAATGAATTTTTATTATCATTATTAATGAGAAATAAGTTTTTATCTTCTGTAGAACATATTTTTCTAAGAACTTATCTTTTGGAATTTGAATTTAAATTTTCAATTTTACTGTAATTCGGTTTATCCTCTTTGTATTCAATTTTGGAATCCGCGTTATCTTTTATTGAAATATATCCTTCTGAGAAATAATTGTAATGATTTTGTGATGATATCAAAAGATACGTGTTATATTTAATTTATTTAATTGAAGAATCGATAAATTTATATAAATATATCTTTTAAAATGTAATTGATCTGTCTGCATCAAATCAGATCATATCGAAATATGTCGTGTTTACGGAAAACGAGCATTTCGAGCTTTCTTTTTAATTCAAATTCTAGATTCATCTTCTGAAGCATTGATTTAAATAATCTAATAAAGAATTATTAAAAAATTATTAAGAAACATAATAAATCATGTTTGGAATACGTCACAATAATATTTTATTTAGATAACAAGAATTTTGTACACATCACAATTTAGATAAATTGTGTTTTTGTAGGTAACTTCTATTGGTGGAATTAAATATGGTCTTCCACGTGGATTTAATCCGATAAATCGACCGACATTTCAAACACGCGGAGCTACCCGTGCTCCGATCGCTGGACGTGGCAAGAAGACTCAAATGAAGGTAAAAATATCTTGTAGGTATACGAATGAAAAAAAAATATCGGAGGTGATGGAAACTTAGAATGAATTTGGAACAACTATTATTTATTGGAACAATTGCTTAAATCGATAATGTTTATATGTTGAGTAAAGTTTATAAACTTAGTGAAATAAAATTAATTCGAAATACATACACATATAAACATAATTTAAACATAAGGCGTATTTTTGAAAACATATGAGATAAGAAAAATATTTAGAAGAGATAATATATACACATATGTATAATTATGTATATATTTAAATCATTAAAAAGGAGAAAAATATAATTCGGATAATTTTCTTAATAACAATATATAGAAATCTTAAACACATTTTTATTAATTATTTAGGTAACGGGCAAAAAGAAAACTACTGTTAAGAAAACTAAGGAAACAGAGAAAAAGGATACCAAAGGTCGTGGTATTGATGGAATCACAGATTATAAGTAAGTGTTTGAAGTTTTTTTTGTAAATTCCAACATATCTTATAATCATTTATTGATCTTCACATTTATGATGATGCAAGAAAATCTTTTGTTTCATTATTCTCATTTTATAAAAAAAACTTGTCTTCTTTATTTTGATATACGTATAAGTAATTAATTTAATTTTTATTTAATAAAACAATTATATTAGGTGTAGTAAAAAGAAATCCATTATTTTTCCAATGATGGCTTTAGTAATTTGTATTTCGTCTACGCATGATACAGATTACTAAAGCCATCTATTGGAAAAATAATGGATTTCTTTTTACTATACCTAATATAAATGAATTATATAAATTATATTACAAGTATACTTTTACTATTTTTACTATTACTTGTATATATATATGTATATATATATGTATATATATATATATATATAAAATACTTATATAATATTCTATTTTAGCGAAACTCAAATCGATAATGCTCGTGCACTACTGACAAAAGACGCACTGCCAGTACCAGGTCAGTTTGATGATGCGGTGGGGAATGGGAGGGGGTACCAAATTTAATATTATTAAATTATTAATTATTATAATTTATTAGTAAAAGATATTTTATTACTTCTCCATTAAAATGTTAGTAGACATACTTTTCGAGGAAATGTGTACGATATCAGCAGAGCATGCGATAATCAAAAATATAATTATCCTAATTAGATTTCTTCAGATGCTCTATTTATTAACATTTAATATCGGAACATTAGATTTATAATCAGTGACAGTTAGCTTGACTTAGAATGAGTTTGAATTTACTGCAATTATCTGCTTTTTTAAAAATATTAATGAGCTATGATACAAAAGTCAAATAACTAATAAAAAATTAATATTTTTCGGACAAAATAGTTTTAGTTTCTAAATATTGATAGCTATTTGAATGCTATCTGATTGTATTCTAAATGTTATGTGCACAATAGTTCTAAAGCTCTGATGGGTCCAAAATATTGATCTAATAATAGGAGACAAAAAATCTTTACTTGCAGTGTCTCGATAGCACGCGGCACGATGTAAGGATTTTACCTATTCTTGACGTATGCGATATATGATGTCCTCACTGCCAAACGTACCACTCTGTATAAGATAGAAAGACAAAAAATCGTGCTTGTGCTAAAAATGATGCTGAAATGCGAGCTAATTTTGCTCGCATTACCATGGAATGGAACTCGACTGATTAGTGTATGCATGTGCTAATTTTACTACTCAGAACAAATCGTCTCAGCTGCTATAAGTATTTAATTCTTAAGAAGTGTGATTATTTTTTTTACACGAAAATATATATTTTCCGGTATTATATGAAATGCTCGCTGTGATGTATCTCAGTGATTCGATTTGACAAAGGAAGTAGTCTGACACGTAGATACACATACACGCCATATTATACATGATGACATTTAATTGATTTTTGTAGATAAGAATGATGTCAGACGGAACACTGAGATAGTCATTAGCATATGGAGACTGATGCTTTTCATATAGGTAAAATATATATTTATATATATATACATATATTATTTAGATTAGAATTCTCATGCAGTATATTATACGTAAGTTGTGCCTGTGTAAAGTGTGTGAATGTATTGTACCTGAGAGTATGAATATATGAGAGAAATTGTTAATATAGAGTATATATAATTACAAGAATGAATGAGAAAGAAAGAGAGAAAACGAAAGAAAGAAAGGAGAAGAAAAAGAGTGAGAATGAGAGAGAGAGAAATAGAAGAGTAAGTGAGTGAGTGAGTGAGTAAGTGAGAGTGAGTGAGTGAGTGAGTGTGAGAGAGAGAGAGAGAGAGAGAGAGAGAGAGAGAGAGAGAATGAGAAAGCCACGATAATGATGTACATAAACGTGGCACATTACATCGTTATAGACACGTATACATACGGATATGTTCACCGTATGTACATGTGTGTACGTGATCTAAATCATATATTTATTTGCGTTAGAGAATTGTGTGAATGGGTTTCCTGAATGGAATTTGAAGTTTAGAATTTGAAGATACGATAATGTTTCTATCTAACAACAGACTTGAAGCATATCGTAAGGATATTTAATATAAAAGTATTTGTTGTGAAGTAATCCTTATGATATGTCTCATATTGTTTGAAAAATATGCTACATTAGCATGTGCTACAATTTATTAGATAATTTGTTAGAAATATTTAGTCCATTAAATTTATGTTGACAATGTATTATATGCATTACAATACATTATTATGATATAAATATTATTTATATATTATATATAAAATATTATATTATATAATAAACAAATCTATATATGCACGATTTGGAAATTTTATATAAAATAAATATTCCTTATCTGTAATATTTATATTAAAATATTTATATTATAATAACATGAAATGTTGCTGGATCAATTTCAATATTTTAATTTGACAAAAATTGCTAATAATTTGTTTAAAATATGTTAAATTGATTGTTAAATATTTGAAAAATAATATTTAATAATAAAATGAAAAATTAATTTTATTACGATTAAAAAAGCGAGCTTTTCTGTGCATACCTAGTGTAGCATATTCCCAGAAATATTCTTCGTTTAATTGTACATATGAACAGTTGCTTTATAAGTGACGCAGTGTGATTGATATGGTGTATATATAGAATCCAGGTGCGTATGTGTTTATTACGCATCGGAATAGGAGATGATTATGTTAAAAATATGCTATTTATGTGTAGAATAGTCTAAATGACTTTCTACCAAAGATCATCGGAGTTTAAAAGAGATAAAAACAAGGGTTCTTTTATCAATAGAAATGATATATAACAGCGAAATAACAAGACAGCACGACAGAACACGATTATTAAAATAAGTAATGAAGACGAGGCAGACACGTGTCTAAGGCACGTGTATGAAAATGATTAAAGCGAATAAAAAGAGGAAACCATTTATTGAGATAATATAATGAGATATGGTGATAAGATAAAATGTTATATTTTTGTAGATTTGTTATTGCGTAAAATGCATTAGGACAATGAGAAACTTTATATAATTTGAGTAAAATGACAGTTAACGAGTCTGAGAAGTTAAAGGAGCAAGATCCTGTGAGAGAAAGAGAGAGAGAGAGAGAGAAAGAGAGTGAGAGAAAGAGGGATAGAAAGAAAGATAGACGGAAGTGCTTTAAATGGCATGTTAAGAAAATGACATCCGCGGATAAATTTTGCTGAAAAGAAAAAAAAAAGGAAAAGAGAGTCCCATGTTCTCCTACATTTCCGAAGCTCTCAGTTTCCTGAGTTGCGTGTAGGAACAGGAAAAAAAGATATATAACATATATATATGAATAACAGAGATGAATTATAACTAATAATGTCAGCTTCGATATGCGCCGAGCATATGTGAAAAATAATTCGACTGTTTTACACGATGCATATGCGAAGTAATCAACATTTGCTTAACGTATTTGTCACGACGAGCGTTTGTAAATCATACGTTTCACGGATACATGTAATATGATTTTATAATCACTCGAGTCTCATAAACGACTTATGATTAGCGTATGAACGCTTATGATTACTTTGCAAAGTACGTTGCAATGCACGATCGCTGATACGATATTCTTTTTTGAAAACGAGAAATTTCGAGAATTGACAAAACCGTTCGTTTTGAACGCGTATATATATATATAATATACACATGTACACACATAATACATATAACACGTACGAAGCCGACCTTCTTGAATCTGACAAAATACGAATTTGAGAGTAAAACGCCACTTTACGCTTTTACGTAAAGATAGATGATTTTCTTTCTGAGAAATCGAACTCTTGAGATATATATATATACATATATATATATACCGGATATAAAACAAATAAAGACACAAATAACGATGTATGCAACGTGATCAGTTGCTGCTGCACTGATATGAGTATGCAACAATATAATAATAACGTGAAATAATTTAATGTAAACGCGAAGCGTAATGCAAAAACAATAAAAAAAAGAGAATTCAATATTGAATACAACAGAAAGCAGAAATGTTGAAAACAAGGAAAACTCGCATAAAGCATTAACGACGTAAAAAACAGGCGCGTTTTCGCAATTCAGAGCGTAACTGCCTGGCTTTTCGTTGTAATAAGTAGAAAAAGTGGGGCCCACGAAAGTCGTCTATGATAATACCGAGACATACCCATTAAAAGTTATAAATAATCGTACTTTATGAAATAACAATCTATATTGATCTTCGAAACATTGTGTGTTGTGAACAGATAATTAAATAACAGAAAAATTAATTGTACACCAAGTAAATGCTAAACTCTCGATAATCTTGCTGAAATGACAAAAAACCATTGTAATGAAGAAACGGTTAAATGAATATCGCACAGAATTCATTTTTTACGATCTACGGTATCGCGCGTAACGTACTGCAAAGCACGTTGTCGCAAGATAACACGCTCGATTTTTCGAAGGAAAACGGCTATTTTCATTTCGTTTCAACACCATTTTTCTAGCACAGAATATTATACGATATGCTGCCAAGTATAGGGTTCTCATTAACACTTTTAATATATATTTATCAACAGTTATATCCTTTATTCAGAGAAAAGTCCCGCTTTCTTATATATCTTCTGTATGTTTATTGTCCTCCTTCTTTTTATATCTTTTAGAGCTTTAGGTTGCCTTGCAGGAATCTTGAAAAAAAGAAAAACTTAATTTAATTTTCAATAACTTGTTTTAAATGCTAGATTAAAAATAGAAAAGAAAAAAAAACATATATTGTATATTTACGTTTCTCATATACTTTAGATGTATACGCAGTGAAACGGGCGTCGTGTTACGCGTATACACGTGTGTTCTTCTTATCTTTTAACTTCTAACTGTAGCCCGTACGAGTAGAATCGAACTTCTCATAGCGATCCGACGTTAAGCATAATAATGAAAAAGAAAAAAAAGAGGAACCACCTCTCTGAGTTATGCGCACTTGACAATTATAAATTTTAAGTTTTCCTTAACGTAGTTTTGCTTATATACGTAATATGAGATATAAACTAAAATAACGATAGCGAAACGCAAGTGTAATGTAATAAAGTAAAAAAGTAAAAAAAAAAAGAGATATCGATGTAGATGAAAAAAAAACGCATGTGGGCCCCGACACACATCTTATATATTCTTATTAAATATTACATAACATATAACTACGCTATTATTTTTCATAGGGAAGGAAAAGATTACACGCATACGCGCGATAACATGTATACTTGATAATTATTAGTACGTTTGTTTTCCCGTTCTTTTTTTTTACTTTCTCTTCTTATATCTGAAGGAAGAAAACTATTAAACGATGCGAAAGCGCATGGGATATATATGTGAAAAGGGAAGGAAATATACGCGTATATTACTATTTACGTGGATGTATTTGTGTGAGAGAGAGTGAACGCCCTTTCGAATTTTTCAACTAACAATAAGATAAATTGCCCTGTGTTCGGAACTGTCGCTTGAGTTACCGGTTTATAAAAGGAGAAAACGGGAAAGAAAAAAAGGGCGGAATCCGTTCGTCGATCCGAAAAAAATTGTATATGCGCTCAGCTGTTATTGATGATTATATAATTTGACTTCGGTGGGTCGGTCAGCGTACGTTGCGAAACAATGCGTAAACTGTACCTACATTTCGAATCGCCTTTTTTCAGTGCTATGATCAGGTGGATATTAGAGAGACAGAGAAAGAGGGAAACATAGGATCTCGCGACAAATATAAAGAAAAAAAAAGATCAAATCCCTTAAGTAGAATGAAAAGTTTGCCTGCACAGGAAAGAATATTATATTTGTAGTACGTGATCGTTTGTGGTAATTAATTGCCGGTCACTGATGGATGCCGAGAGTTCGCCAATTTGCACGTAGCCGACCCATCCGCGATCCTCGCATTTATATAAAGCGCAACTGCATTGATGTATTCTTGTTGGATTATTAATACCATTGTAAACATTGTACTGTTGTAACATGTATCCCATTCATGTCTGGTGTCGAGCAGAGCTGATTCTATGCTTTCGCTAGTTAAAAAAAAAAAACGAGGGATCGTGTGCATAAGTTTCTGAATAACTATAATTCGTACAACTTTCGTGATCCTATGTGGGGGATATTACGTGATTTAATAGAATAAAGAAATGGAGCAAAAGAGAAGAAAGGGTAAAGAGAATCAGTGGCGAGAACACGAGGCAGAACTGAAAAAAAAAAAAAAAAAAGATTATCGTAATTCTAAAGACACATTTAAACTACTTTTTAAAAAGCGGATACATATTTGGAAAGTAGCAGGTAAATAATTAATATAAATGTAGTGGCAACTCTATATAATATTACTGCAAAGAGAAAAAGAGAAAAAAAAGATATATACGATGATTATTCGAAGTATAAAATGCGAAACGCACTCTTAATGGATGTTATAACGATTTAGAAATATTTAAATTGCATTAATACTTGCTGTAAATCTGGCTTTTGGAACGCAAGTGCTCTACTGGTCTTCCTATCACAGGAAATTTTCTTTCCTGGAAAGACGGAGAGAGCAATTGATCCAATTGGCAGATACATTTAAGTTTCCTCCTTTTTTTTCAAAAGCATAATATTTAACCCTTCATTTATCTTCTATAAATGCAACCTCTCACAACACACATACACACGCAAAATTAGAGATTTAAGATTTGTAGGATCCTCAGTTCAATTTATAAAGAAGCCATGCGTGACATGCGCGGCTTTTGTAAACGATAACGAACTTTAAATCGAGTCCTGTAAGAAAGCTTTTAGCACGAGTAGAGAGATTGAGAGATTGAGAGAGAGAGAGAGAGAGAGAGAGAGAGAGAGAGAGAGAGGGAGAGGGAGAGAGAGAGAGAAGGTAAAGAGGGAATTTGGATATGGTTGGCTGATATTTTCGGAAGTTTAATGATTTATTGAAAACGTGTTGTCATGTCTTGAATACAATTAAAAGAATATGAAAAATTATATCCCGAGTAAATACTTTACTTCCTAATCCACTTATATTATATTTATCCATGTATTATTTATTTATTTACGATTACATTTTATCCACTTATAAATGCTCATACAAAAGAGCGACAAAATCATTAATATATAAAGCACAAGTCCTTATTTTAATGTGAGATAATTTCATTTTATTAATTTCGAATATTCTATGTTGTAACATGCAAAATGTTCCTAACAATATTAGCTATTTTAAATAGCTTATTAAAAAGAATATAAAGACAGGAAGTGTGAAGAGTTACGTGAAAAGTTGATTGTAATACTTCATTATAATGTTGTTGTTTATATGAGAATTAGTTATTAAATTTAAACATTCAATAAATAAAAAAGAATCTTATTATCATAGGGCAGTACGATTTATCTTTTTTTTCATTGTACTATTATTATTGAATACATCACTTATGTATATAGCTTTTTGAGAGGACTACTAATCTTCTCACTTACTGGATAGATGTAAAGTTTTTTCTTGTACTTTTCTATGTCATCAATATAATCTACAATTTCCTTATCCTTTTCATTAGTATGTATATATTCCAAATTAAAGTACTGCGATTTCTCCTCTGGATCTGCAACTTTTTAAAATTTTAATAATTCTTTTAATAATTTAAGTATAATCTAAAAAGATGGAAGATAAAAAATGTTACAAAATCAGAACTAAAAAAACAATTATAAATGTAAATTAGATCGAATCTAATCAACTAAGAGAAATCCTATTATCATCAAAGCGGATCTTAGTGCTTAAATATTTTGGTGATTGACAAAAAAGTTATTTACTTACTTGACTTCCTGATTGCAATTTCTTTCGGATCAGTTCCTACTACATGCACGCTCAATTTTCTGAAATTACTTCCGTTGTCTAATGTATGCTTTGCGGACCATTCTCTTAATTCGTTGATTTTTATATCTTTTATTGCGAGTACTTCCCTCTCGAGTCTGTCAAACATATATTGCCAATGCGTGATCTCATGCCAGTTTCTGTTAACTTCTTCTTCAAGATCTATATCGGCACATTGCTTTAATTTTCTTAGTGCCTCCTTGGCATCATCCAATTCTTCTTCTGAGAATTCTTCCAAAATCTTATTAAACGATTTTAAAAATTCTTCGATCCGCTGGTCCACATGTTTGGTTGTGTATTTATCTGCTTGAGTGTGAACAGTAATGGAATATCCTAAGATTCCGTTGATATCTCTAAGAACGCAGGAGACGTCATAACCAAGCTGTTCTTGAGTTCGCAACCGATTAAATAACGGTTCTTCCATTATCATCTATAAACAAAGTGTGGATAAATGTGATGCAGAAAATCGATCGCAACAATCAAAGATGTTATTCATATATACTTTCACAAATAAATTAACTGTAAACTAAAGATTCCACGCATTAAAAATATATGAAATAATTAAGTTATTTAATACTTACGATCATCAGATCAATCAACACCGATAATTCGATCGATTCGACACCGATTTGATAATAATTTGTTATTACCGAATTTGCATCAAATTTGTTGATATTTTCCAACTTGCAACAGGACGTGCCCACCGGTATCTGAAAGACTCTCATTTGCGGTATCATACTAGAAGTCAAGGAACCGCAATTAATTATTTTAATACATTTGTGTACGATATCGATCGCAGCGTTCTGCGTCATGTTGCCTTGCACGAGGCACTGAATGTACAAATGATTGGTGAAGAATTTCACAAAACTTTTGAATTTTTTAAAAGTGATATCATGTAGAGCAGTGTGCATGTCAAGGTGTGTATAATGGGTAAGTTTTAATATCCATAATCTCACATCCCTGTATGAAAAAGAATAAATAAATAAATAAATAAATAAATAAATATATATATATTAGGTGTTGGAATTAATTAATATAATTCATTCTTTCAGTTAAATAAGAACTTTATAGTTATTGCTTGATAATTACGCTTGATAACAAATAGCCAGTACCTAACGAGTTTCCCAGGTTTTATAAATGTATTGTAATATGTTTTAAGTTGTTGCACTTTGACAATGTCAAATAAATCCTTTGTAACAAGGGTTGGATATTCCACCATGTATTTTGCAATAGCCATTAACAAGAGCTGCAAGATAAATAAATCATTGATGCACCTCGAAATTATATTTACAATTCCAATGCAATTCCACGCTTTGAACGAATACTTACTGGCAGTTTTTCGTTAAACCCATTCATTTTTATTGTGATACCTTTCTCACTAACATTGATGTTATAATTAAATCCAGCTGCTATAGCAGGATATAATTCTTCAATCAATAGCAGTTTTAGTACATTGCAATACATTTCCATGAGAGCTGCACTGAAATGTCATTAATATGAAAGTTTTTTTTAATAAATACAAATGATTATTATAATAAAAAATCATAATATTGATAATTACAAGTTATTTGATAATTATAAGATATTAGTACATAGAGTGACAGAGCATTATTGCAATGTGTAATATTACATTTTACATACTACTTACTTCTCTGACGATTGAAGTCCCAGAGGAGAAACAAAATGAAAATTCATATAGCATTCTGGCAAACGAAACTTTGGATCCGGCCGATACCAAATCTCTGACAGAGTATTAGAGTATAATTTTACAGGATATTTCGGAACTTCCGCTGGTAACGGTATTAAAGAAAAGTCGTTGGTAAGGAATGTATTCTCTAATGGTAAATGAAAATCTGGTAATGGCTCGATAGATTTCCAGCGTTCGATCCATTCCTTTGATATCTCGATGTCTACATACTTAGTTTGGAACCACGGCTCGACTTTATTTAATTCGAAAAAGTCAAAATCTTCATTGAAAATCATAATATTCACAGTCTCTGGCACTAAATAATCCAAACATTTTTGTATAGCTTCTGGATTATACTCAGAATAAAGCTCGTTTCCAGTTATATAATCGCGTGACGGATAAAAGTGCATACTCTCACACAAATCTTCAACATAATCCGCTGGATCCTCCTCATCGGCAAATCTAGAAAAGTCTTCAAGTATAAGTGTTTCATACATATTTAACATTGTTCTCTTTCAATCACATCTGTTTTGCACATCTATTTATTTCTACAATTGGTTTACCTAAAATTATTTTCTTCAATTTGATAAATTTCATCGTAAATTCTTTTTTGTGGACCCTCCCTTTTCAATAAATTTATAAAAGAAAATATCGCATCTAGAACTTGCTCCAGATGTTGTTGTCCCTCATAGGAGAGTATTATAGTAATCTTTAATAACGCATACATGGAGCTGTGTTCGAAACCACTTTCAGTGCTGCCACTGAATATATCGAGACTCCACATTCTTTTTCGTAAATAACTAATTAAAGAACCTTTTCCTTCATGCCCAATAATCCATGAGATATATTGATGTGGTTTACTTTTGTACAAATGAAGTAACGAAGGCATTGCCCATGTTAGTTCCAGCTAAAAAAACAATTTTCACGATTTAATACATTTATTCAGTATAAAAATAACTTTTTTTAATATATTCAAGTTACGTACTTGGCTAACATCTTTAAAAGGTTTAACTTTATACATTTTTCGAAAAGCGGGAGTATCAAAAGAAACACCATCTTTAAATGCGGAAAAGTCATCAGGAGGCAGTCCATTATTTGGTACATCAGCAAAATACGTTACGACATATTTTTCCAACGTATCCAGCGGTAGTCTCGCCTAGAAAAAAAAATGTATTATGTATTATGTTATGAATTAACTATATTTGATAAGTAATCAACAGTTCTCGTCAGTTTTAACGATGTTACCTGTATAGCTAATTTCATTCTGTGAGCGCTGTAATGACGTTCTCTGAATTTGTGTAGTTCTTCGTATAATTTATCGTCATGTACATTATCGCGCAATGTTATTAAATTGCCCCAAATAAACTTGTTGGCTGGATGATCAGTTCGCGCGAAAGAAGAAAACAGTTGTTCCTTTCTGTTCTCGTCACAAGGTAAGGCCAACTGAAACTCTATATAAGCATGGCATACCAAGACTGCAAGTGACAGTAACAGTGTTACGATTATGATTTATATACCGCTTTCTACAGCCTCTCGCTCCCGCGTGATGGCATCTTTATTCATCAAGGGTTTAATAAAAAATTGAGCAAAACGATCGAGAGCTGACGACAAGTGTTTCTCCTGAATATCAAAGTAAAATGTTGTATGCTCGCAATCCGTTGAGGCATTGGTAAAGCCACCACGCTTACTGATAAACGCATCAAAATCGTTTTCCTACAAGACAATACACATTTAGATATAATAATAAATGAATTTTATAGTAAATTCATACATGTATCATGTTTTAATACTTGAGGATATTTTTCAGATCCCATGAAAACCATATGTTCAAGAAAATGTGCCATGCCTTGAACCTGTGGTGGATCGCTGAAACTGCCTACTCCCACACATAGACCACATGCAGCCTGTTTAAAAAATATATATGCACAACATTGTATACAGAATGTTAAATAGAGAATTAAACATAATCAATAAAATGACAAGTAAACAATTTTAAATTGAGATATACACACATATTTCTAAATGAATCTATATATAGACTCTCTTGTAAATAGTAGATAAAATGTTTCAAATGAAAATTCTTGATAAAATTGATAATATTAAGCCTCAATGAAATCTTTTCATAATTTTATAGGTTTTTCGACAACAAATTATATTACAATAAATTTTTTATAATTATATATAATAAATTGATCCTAAACTGCAACAATTTTAAAATGTCTTAGTTCTACCTTTTTTTCATCTCTCTTAACTCGTTTAACTGAACTATCTTCTTCATCATAGTCATCGCTTATATCACCTTCATCTTCGTCTTCATTATTTCCTCCATTCTCTTCGCTACTTTCCTCATCCTCAGTTTCATCTTCAGTAGATTCTATATTAATATTCAAAATAACAAACTTTATAAATGTGTAAAATGTTATAACTTTACTTTCCGAATATGCTCGTGTATATGTGTGTGTGTGTGTGTGTGTGTGTGTGTAGATGAATGTGTGTGTGTGTGTGTGTAGGTGGGTGTGTGTGTGTGTGGGTGTGTGTGTGTGTGTGTGTGTGTGTGTGTGTACAGGGTGCATCACCAATCCGGACAAATCAAACAATTTCTTTAAACAAAATGTTTTTAATGAAAAATTAAATATTACAAGAAATCCTTTTACATGGCACTTGGGGAATCCTTGTAGAGCACAATTATTCGATACATCCCCCATTAGCTTGAATGACGGCCTCTATTCTCGGTCTGAAGCACGCACGCTGTAATGTAGCGCTGTCCATGCCGATGAATGCTGCCTCAATAGTGGTCTTTAATGATGTCACATTGGAATGGCGAGACTTGTTTGTGATCCTTTCAATTATGCTCCATATGTAATAGTTCAAGGGATTTAAATCTGGGCTGTTGGGAGGCTAGAATGGGAGCCGAGACGTCCTCAGAGAGCATCTGTCATATCTTTAATGTGTACGATTTGTATCGAAGGTCCTCCTTGGCAATTCGACGCATTGTTGGCTCGCTTACACCAACAATCGATGCTAATTTTCGTAATTTTCAATTGCCCTGGGTCATCCGAAATCAGCCCTTTCAACGACTGCAGGGGTCCTCGCGGTGCATTCTTTCGAGTGACTCTTCCTCGTTAGCATACTGGAACCTTTGTAGGACTGTTCTAAAGCGGTATATTTTGCCATGTCATAAACGATTGATCTCGGGTATCCAAAGAACCGAATTATTTCCGTTGCTGAGCATTCAGCGCGAAGGTCTTCGATGATCGCAGCTCTTCAATTATATTCCGCACGTGATTTCAACATCGCGATCATTTTGAGAATATGACTGTTTACTAGAACCATCAGGCTTTCTCGAACGCCAACAACAACCTCTGGCGGAGGCATAATATAGCGGGAAATTTAAATTGAAAATTGTCCGGATTTTGGTGACGCATTCAGTATACAGGGTGATTTTAATATATTTCGTCACCCATTTCGTCAGTAAAAAATTATTCAAGACCAATATTTGGCAATTTTTAATAATAAATATCTCGTTAACTATTGCGTAAACTGCAAAATGGTAGATGACTTTTCGACTCAGTCCGATTCACTCTACTTGCTCATGATAGGTAACGAAATATGTTAAAATCACCCTGTATATACACGAGGCATATTCGGAAATTATTTTAACTACTCGGAAAGTATGACTACATTTTACAAAAATCGAAAAATATTTATTAATAAAACTTATATGACATATTACACAAGTAAAGCACAAGTAAACCACTAATCGCTATTCAGTTCCAAGCATTTGGTGAGCTGTGGTGATAAAATACTTCTGTATTCCTGTGTTATACGTTTTTGCCGCCACCTCCCTTCACACACGGCATTCTTCATCTCTTTGTCAGTGGAAAAACGTTCCTATGTGTTCTTTCAACATAGTGAAAAGAAAAAAGTTACTTGTTGCTAGATCGAAACTATGGTTCGAATATCCCAACCCAAAACTGTTGAGAAGATCGATCGTTTTGCCTCCAATTTTTTTATTCCAGATCAATTCATTAATGCAGACAGATATTGCGAAATCCTCAAAAAGTTTCGACGGGCTATACAAAATAAGAGGAAAGGGCGTGTATCTGTTGCATGACAACGCTCAGCCCCACACCACACGCAAAATGATCGATTTCGAGTGCATTCCGTTTCACGCATGATGCACATGATGCATCATTTATCCTTGTTATTCACCGAATGTTAAACAAGGATAGATGATGCAGTATGCATTGACATTTTTTTGTTGTACAATCAAAAATAACTACGGCTAGATCCCTGAAGACGAAGATAGCCTTAGTTATCATAGCTTCTGGTTGGATAATGAAAAAACGTCTCATATCATGCGTGAAACGAAATGCTCTCCTCTTCAATCATACCTGCCTAGTCCTGACCTAGCACCAAGTAACTTTTATCTGTTCATCCTATTGAAAGAATACATGGAAGGGAAACGTTTTTTACTGACGAAAAGGTGAAGGATGATCGTACGTGAATGGTCAAGGGAGTTGGCAACAGAAACGTGTGACACAGGAAATATAAAAATTTGATACCACGGCTCTCCAAATGCTTGGAACTGAATAGCGATTACGTGAAAAATAGTGCTTTACTTGTGTAATATGTCATATAAGTTTTATTAATAAATATTCGTTTTTCAATTTTTGTGAAATATTGTAATCTTACTTTCCGAATATGCCTCGTATATACACACATCTTTTTTCATTATCATTACATACCCTGATAGCAAAATGTTAGCAATTTGTTTCTAAACTCGATCATCAGATTTTAACCATAGCCATTTGTATCCACATTTGACTATGGATTCGTCATCAAAATCTGTTGACATATTTTAGCAGCAATTGCTGACAAAAACCAAGTAGTCTGCTGACATAATTTGACAGCAGAAACCGAACAGAACCTGCTGACATAACCTGATGGCAGATTGGCAGCAGAAACCAAGCAAGATCTGTCATTTTTATTTAAATCAACATGATTTCTTGTAAGAAATTTTGCATAACATACATAAAGGATATTATATATAATTATATGTAATTGTATATTTATATACAATTATATATTTATATATAAAATATCTAATTAATAATAAAGTTCATAAATTTTATAAAACAAAGAAAAAAGAGGTCTACGAACCAAAAATTATTATATAAAATAAACATGATTTTTTACACAAAATGTAAAAAAAAGAATGTAAATAAAAGAAACAGAAAGTTAAAGATTTAATATAGAAAGCTAGCAGACGTTTCGATCGCGATTGGATCATTTTCAATGTCAAAAACATACATAATAGCTACAGTCGAAAAAAAAAACAAAAATATAATATAATAAATTATCAATTTCGCTCTGACGCTAGTAACAAGAAAACAAATATCATAACGTACATATTTATTTTTTCTTAAAGTTATCGTAAGTTCATCTCGTGGCCGTATATGAAAAAAGACAGATTTTGCTCAATTTCTGCTATCAATCTACAGTCAAGTTATATCAACAAGTTTTACTTGGTTTCTGCTTGCCACTCTACTGCCAGGTTATGCAATAGATTGTTCAGTTTCTATTATCAATTTGCTGCATAGCATGTCAGCAGGCTTTGTCATAATTTTAAGCAATTTTATAACAATGTTTGATAGTATAACTCTATGTACAATTTGTAGTTTTTCTGCAATAAAAAATTGATTGCAGGTTCTGCTCAAAATTAGTCTTAGCTCTCCACAAGTTTTGCTATCAGGGTACATAACATTTTATTTTTAATACATTGCCGCAATAATAATATTATCAGATGTTTTACCTTTGTCCTGATCATCTTGATCCTGAGAAGCACAAGTTTTTGAATGTATATCGGATATTAACAAAGCCGTTAAACCATTTGGTAATTTGATGACTCTACATTAGGAAGATAAAACACACAACAAATCAATGAGAAAGTTTATCACATAAACCTAATCCTTCCTTAATAAAAAGTAATGTTTCTCTAAAAAAATTACCATTAAATAATATTTCTCTCTATTCATAAATAATATTATTTATAAATAATATTCCTCTCTATTTCAATCGAAAAAATACTTAATTTAATAGAAGGAATATTAATCTGCCTTACTTGTATTCTTTTTTATCGTTCTCCGATTTGATGGGCGTCTCCAAATATTCAACTTGATGACCCTCACCGTCACCGGTTGTATGCTCCATCTCTGGCATTATATTGATGCAGGGGAAATCAGAATGGAAATTAGGTCGGTCGATAGAATATAATTCAATCGGTAAACTCACAATGGGATTTTGAATAGTTTCTAACTTCCTTTTCTGTAGACTCTGCTCAATTTTCCTTAACAGTCTAACTGACACATGTCTACATACACGTCTGACAAAGGTCAGTCGTTGTTGAAAAAAGTAAAGAACACATGTCATGCACTCGACGGTTCTATAACAAGTCTGAACATTATCGATATTCAGGTTTCTCATCTTTTTCTATGTTTCTAGGGAATTTCAGCACACTCATTTAAGTTGCCTATTCATTTAAAATTGTATTTCGTAATTTAAATAAAAATATCATTTATATAATTATAAAATGGTAGATTTTACTCCGCGGTTTCTGTTATCATGTTCGCAGATTCTGTTATTATGTTAGCAGATTTCTTTTGACATTCTACCGATAAAATGTACGACGCTATTTTTTAAATTAATTTGTGAATCGTTGGATAAATTGCTCACACATACTGTTCTAATATTTAACTTGCTAAATTATTAATAATATTAATAAATATTATCTCCAAAATTATTGTTCAGCAATAGTTAAAGATGCATTATTAAATAAATTCTCAGTTGAAAATAATACTATATATAAATAATTCGCTAGTTTATAAGCATGGGTGAAAAAGAATAATATAAATAAAATAGTCGCCATTTATTATTAAAATGTAAACATGTTATTACAAGTGTATGTGTCAATTAATTAATAATAAAAGTATCATAATAATAAATATTAAATATAATTGAAATATAATTATAATATTATGATTATACAATATTTTAATACGTTATTATATAACGATTTTAATTATATATATATACTAATTAAAATAATCAAAAATTAATAATTAATATTAATAGTGTAAAACAATGCTTCGTATTTATTGTAAATAAAAAATGTGAATATATTAGCATCAAATAATTAATAATAAATATTTTTTAATTGTATTAAAAAAACAAATAATATCACATCACAATATTATAATTAATTCTAATTATTCTAAAATTAGTAATTAAACTTAATATTGATAGTATAAAATATAATGTCGTAATATATCATAAATCACAATAATATGCGAACATATCTTAAATATTAAAAATATTAATCCTAAACTATTCTAAGATGTTAGTATACTAACTTTGCCATTTATATTAATAGATAAAAAAAGCGAAATTAGATAGTTTATGTAAAAATAGTTTATATAAAACTATTCTGATTTTCTATTGTGCTAAAATAATTCTAGTTCTGATTGTTTAGAAATATTATTTGTATAAACATTAAATAACATTACATTTATCATTATTGTTATAAATAATTTTACTTTTTGTATACCACCATTAGTTTTAAGTTACTATTTTGATTGAAATATGCTATTTTCTTATATTTCAGATTTTACAAAAATTAGAAAAAATTTGAATGATCGATATTCTATTTTTAACAGCAAAAAGATTTGCAAAATTCTGTGATTTTATACATTGAATCAAGAAATATTCTTTTTTAAATATCCTCTAATTTCCTTTAATTGTAATTAAATTAACTCTCTAATGCCAAAGATACATGTAAATAAGAAAGCAACCTCATTAATGGCATTTACTGCAAGTAATCCTGCAATACCATCGATTATCCATAAATAAGACCACCAAGACAGTCTGATCAGATTACTCAACCAGTGATGTACTACTTCATAATCTGTTACTAATCGCATAATCTCTATTTTACGTGAAGGAGGATCTATTATCTTCATTGTATAGAACTCTCGTTTCTCTAAGAAAAGACTTACCATATAAACTAAAGTTTTATATAAAAATGTAATCCTGCTCAAATTATAATTAGTTAATATATCATTAATGTCAAAAACTTGTAAGTCACATTACGATCTTAACATCTCGAGAGACCACGAAATACTGACAGGATATTGGCATTCTAATAAGTACAGTTATTATGTAAACTTCTAAGGACATATATATGATCAATAAAAGCAATTGAGAATCAATATATACTCAAATATAAAAAAACCTAATCTTTACTTATAAAAATTGTAACGTCTCTCTCAAAAAATTACCGTTAAAAAATATTTCACACTTATATTTCGATCGAAAAAAATGCGAAGTATTCCCTACTGAAAAAAACACGTCACAAAGTTATACTTGTAACGAAATCATATATGTAATTAAAACAAATAAATGACACAACTAATTATTCCAAATCAGTACGTAATTTTTCAAATTACATAATTTGAAAAGCCACACGTTACATTTTCTCTATTTTTATCATTTAATTATTTAAAATTCGATAACTATAAAATCATACAATAGAGAAAATTATTTCTAATTTCATGTGATTTTTCAATTTACTTGATTTAAAAAAAATCATGTACTGATTTGGACAATCGTTACGAGATTTAGTTGTTTTAATTACATGATTTCGTTATGTAATTTTGCAACGTGATTTTTTTCAGTAGGATTTGACTCTGCCTTAGATGTATTCTTTCTTATAATTTTTCCGATTTGACGGGCGTCTCCAGATATTCAACATGATAACACTCATCGCTTCCGGTCATATGCTCCACATTTGTATAATGTGGACGCAGGGGAACTCAAAATGGAGATTCGGTCGGTCAGTAGAATACGATCCCATCAGAAAACTTACAATAGAATTTCGAATCGTTTCTAACATCCTTTTTTATAAACTTTGCATAATTTTCCTTAGCATCTAATCTTATCCTTAGCATCTATCTAATCGATACATGTCTACATACGCGTCTGACAATGGTCAATCGTTGTTGAAAAAAGTAGAGAGCACATGTTATGCGCTTCTGTACGGTCTGTAATCAATCTGAACATTATCGATATTCAGATTTCCCTTTTTTAAGGAATTTTCTAGCATACCGGTCATTTAAGTTGTCTATTCATTTAGAATTGTATTTCGTAATTATTTAAGACGGAAGATATCATTTATATAATTACAAAATGACAGATATTACTCCGCGATTTCTGTTAGGATGTACTGTTAGGAGATTCTGTTATGTTAGTAGATTTCTTTTGATATTCTACCGATAAGATGTAAAACAGGATACAAAATTAATTTTCGAATCATTTGACAAATTGCTCACATATTGTTCTAACATTTAATTTGATGAATTATAAATGAAAAATATTATCCTAAAATCATTATTTATTCAATAGTTTATAAAAATGTATTAGTAAATAAATCCTATGTTGAAAATAATAATATATATAAATAATTTGCTTATAAGCATGAGTGGAAAAAAATAATAATGTAAATAAAATGGCCGCTATTTATTATAAAAGTAAATATGTTATTACAAGTGTGTGTGTCAATTAATTAATAAAAGTATTATAATAATAAACATTAAATATGATTAAAATATAATTATAACAATATGATTATGTAATATTATACTATTATATATAATTATTTTAATTACTAAATAAAATATTAATAATTAAAAATTAAAAATTAATATTAATAGTGTAAAATAATGCTTCGTATTTATTGTAAAAAAATGTGAATATATTATTAGCATCAAATAATTAATAATAAATATTTTAATAGTATAAAAAACAAATTATATTATCACATCATAATAATATAATTAATTCTAATTATTCAAAAATTAGTAACTTAAGATTAATAGTATAAATTACAATATCGTAATGTTAGCGAAAATCACAATATAATATGAGAATCTATCATGAATATTAAAAATATTAGGTGTAGTAAAAAGAAATCCATTATTTTTACTACACCTAATATTAACAATCCTAAATTATGTTCTAAGACACGTCGTTATACTAACTTACATTGCCATTTACATTATTAGAGGAAAAAATAGAAATGAGATAGTTTACATAAAAATAGTTTATATAAAGCTATATATAAAGTTATATATAAAGCTATTCTGATTTTTCGTTGTGCCAAACAATTGCTAAAATAATTCTAGTTATTTAGAGACATTGTTTGATTCTCAAAGCAATTTTAGCTCTACTAATCTATTCAAATTTATTATGCGATCATAATTTGAGTAAATAAGACATGCTCTACAAAATAAAAAAATTAAAAAATTTCACAAAAACAGGTGTAACATTAACAGATAAATTACCAATTATCAGAAAAAGTTTTAAAAAAGGCATTAGTAAGAAAATAAATTATTTTATTTAAAGAAATACATTTTCAGTCAAATAAATCTGTAAAAAAATTAGTAGGATTAAATAATATAATGACAAAAGTTAGCACTATTCTAGAACTTATATTCCGTTAAATACTGTTCTTTAAAATTTAGAAAATTATTATTATTCGTCTAAATGTTCCAAGAATATCCGAACATAAAAATACCTCAATATGATAAATATTACCTGAGGAGAATGAACTCACGCAAGAAATAATAAGTTATAAATAGAAATAGAGAAAAATATGAAGTCCGTCTTAGATTCTTAATCGTAAAAATTAATAGATTCCATAATTTAAAATAAGCGATATAATGAAAAATTGTCATTTTATTATTCCTATGTTCCAATGATTTAGATATTTTTAGGATAGTCACATACATAAATTCAATTTGTTGCTCCATTCTGTCCATAGTCTTTTTTAAAGTATTATGCATCTGAAAATAATTATTTCTATTATACGCGCGCACGCGCGCGCTTGTGTGTGTGTGTGTGTGTGTGTGTGTGTGTGTGTGTGTGTGTGCGCGCGCGCGCATGTATATGCGTTAAGCAATACATTTATGTATCTATCTGTGCTATCCACAGATTTCTTCTACGTTTTACATTCATTTTACTATATTTCTTTCTACTGTGTATTCACTCATCCACACAAAACACAAAAATAAGTTAGACACAATTAGAAATTAATAAATATGTATATACATAGGCAACAAAGATATATATTTTTTTCTCATAAGGCATCAATAATTCTAAGTAGCAGATTTTACTCGGTTTTTGTCATCATATACTATTAGTAATATGCTAATTATTATGTTAATAGATTTCTTTTGATATTCTACCGATAAGATGTAAGATATTATTGAAAATTAATTTTCGAATTATTTGACAAATTGCTCGCATACTGTTCTAATATTGAGCTTGCTGAATTAATAATGAAAAATATCATCCCAAAATTGTTTATTCAATAGATAGAAATGCATT